TAAACTGATTTGCCTATATTTACTCAGTAAGGATAGAGTAGATTTTACATATGTGTATCTATACAAAGAGAGTAGCTTTATGATGAGAAATGAACTTTAATAGGTTAGTATCTCAAACCCATGGAAATTTAAAATATTTGTTTAGATGTTAGAAGCTATATTCATTACCTTTTAAAATAATGATTAGGTATCATATATGCATTGCAGCTTCCTGGCACATGTGTCTTAATGTATTTCTGTACTAGTTATACATTTATATGTATCCATATTTACTCATTCCACAGTGGAACTGATATGGATTTTGGATTTCAAAGTGTGGTAGGGCCCACAGATCCCTTTATGTTACAATGCATGTTGTACATGGAGAGAAAGAAGGTGTTTGCATGAAAACATGAAGTTGAACTAGGCAAATGGTGGACCAGAAAATAGCTTTGATTGTAATTGTAGTGTATAAGAACTGTAACTTTTTCTTTCTTTCTCTACATGAGTGGAATGTTCTCTTCAGTTGATGCAAAGTTTGCAAATTAGTACCACAAATGTAGATGTGCTTGTATTTTGATGGGTGTTAACAAATCAAGTAATAAAATTTGTGTTACGGGAAACAGGAGTGTAGTTTTCGATTCAGGTTTTGGGACATCTTAAAAAATTAGCTTTGTCATTGGGGCTTGGTGTAGTACTTAACATTGATAAACAAAAAAAATCATTTCAACTCCCACCCAGTCCAGTTGCAGGATAGAACAGGCTTTGTATTAACATTTTCTGTAATCATTATCTACTGTAACTTATCTACAGATCCTCTTCAGTTTAAACAGGATATACCTTGGCTGAACTGTGGAAGTAACTGCTAAGAATATTTCACAATTCTCTGGGCAAATATATTCAGTTTCCTATGTCATTTCCATATCTGCAGACATACAGATACATCCTAAAACATGTTTTATTTTGAATAACAGCTACTGTATGAAGTGACAGACAAAGTCAAGGCCTGGGCCATATGCCCAAGAATGAATTCCATAATAGAACAATTGCCAAGTGCATAGATGCATTGCTGAAGTTTGGAACTTCTGGCTCTGACCATGGAAACATCGCTTGTAAGCATTGGGTCACTTTTCACATGTTAACATCTTAATAAATATTGAATAGATTATTTCCTGTAAACTCAACATCTTAAGAATTGTCACAACTACAGAATTCTTAAGAATTATTATGTCCACAGTCTCCCACTCTTTCTGCCGTGTTATGCTTGTTGATATATTCTGTAGTCACACAAATAATATATATATCACTATAGTGGCATATTTGTCACCATTGTTTCAGAAAGATCAGATATATTGTCACATACTTCAAGTTTGAATTATGTGGTTCTGTGAAAATAGTAACAGACTAGAATGTGTTCTGATCTGAAGGTTAATTGTGTGCTTGGTTTTGAATTTAACCTCATGCAGTTCCTGGAGTACATAGTTCGTTAGGCCATATCCTGAAATATGAAATTCCAGTTTTCAGCATTGGAATATATTGCATGTGCCATGTGTATTTGAAGTGTCTTGCTGTTCAGTCTCTTTTTAGACACTGTCCTTACAAATTTAGCTGTATCATTGTCTGAACACATGTAAATTCAGATTCTGAAATTTTAAAATGTTATGGAGATTGTTGCACCTACATGATAGGAGATTAAAGTATTTATTTTTTTACCAGGCAAAATTACTTTTCATGAAGTGTAAACTATGTCACCTCAGATTCATATATTTTAAAACACTTGGATTTGTGGCATGTAATGGCAAAATTTAAATGTTAGTATCAACATGTATTTTTTATTTTATTATGAAAAAACATGTATTTAAAGGTTCTAAGGACAGTATATCAGAGAGCATATTTGGACCTAAAAGATGTCGATAAACAGTGGACACATGAAAAACTGCATAATGAGTATCATTATTTTTTTATGATCTATTTAGGGTAATTTGTGGCATTTATTAAAATATTGACATGTAGCATGCATGATGGAACATTTCTCTGTGGACTGAAAAGATCACTTTCAAAGGCCAAGATATAGGCAGGTCATTAGGAATAAAAGAAATTGGCTTTGTATTAGGATTGTTAGTTTGGTATAGTAATGAACTTTTTTTAATTTGGGAGCCTTCCTTCAGTGCAGATAACAAAGAAAAGCAGACCAGATTTCCTCATACCCACAATGTCTTTGCATCCCATTCTATAATTTCATTTTAAAACCTTGAAGTGATTTGTAGACATTATGTCAATATATTACATTAGGAACAATGCATATTGCCTAGATACTGAGTTTGTGTAAATTCTATTTCAAATACCTCAGTTATTCATATGATTAGAACAAGTGATTGCAAGATATATTCCCATAAAGGCAGACTAGATCTAATAATATGTTGCTTATACCATTTTCCTTATATTATGCCAGTGATCAATTGTGTGCTATCACCATTTTTCAGTACACTGTCTATATGCTGTAACTGCTCACAATGTTCATTATGCACTTGAAGTTTGCATCACAAGCTATATATAAATTTGCACATGAATTTCAGGTTATCATTGTCATGTGAAACTACAGCAATTTAAAATGATCAAGTAAGTGAACATTTAATAATTATTTTTGTTGGTACCCATACTTCTAATGCAGTACAAGAAATGATAAATCTGTACTTTACGAATACAACTGAACATTATACAAAGACTGACAAAATTACACTATTTTATGATATTTTTCTGTCTGTGGTAAAGATACCAACTGCCTAGAAGATGAAACATAACCTCAAAGTTTGTCACACTTTTCATGGTTTTAACATGTAGAAGACTGCATTATTCAGAATATATAATAGAAAAGTATTGAGTGCTTGGTGATAATTGTTGAAGTCACTTTTTGCACTGCAGTGAATCATGGTTATATTCTTTAATTAAACAGTAAGTAATAATTTTAATGTATATATGTTACTTTGATAGACAACTTAATAAAAATGTTGTTTTAAGCACTGCTTTAAATTTTCCTGATATTTTTGATTGGTAATTACTAGTTTTTATATGTTATGATCTGTCTCTGTACCAAGTTACATATGACAATGGTGCTGGAGTTATTAGACAAAATTGAAATAAAAGCTACAATTTTTTTTTTAAATTGTTAAGGAAATTTTAGACCTCTGCATTAAATGGTCTTTCCATCTGAGAAGTTTGCATGACTTCAATGTTAATACTTTTAATAGTAAGGAATAAAATACAAATGTGAGATGATGTAGCCTGCAACAGCATGAAGGCTATGTTACTGTATGAGGGCAAATGCATACTGAAAATCTTTTTATATCCTATAACCCACGGTGGTCTAGCGGTTAGAACGCTGGCCTTGTAATCCTGGGGTCTCGGGTTCGATTCCCGGCGGTGCCCGAATTTATAACTTGTGTTGGGCAAGGCCGTGGTCTAGCCAACACAGAGGTTTCCTCCGTGGCATCCCAACAATTACCCCATTCACACACAGAAGAAGGCAATGCCAAACCACTTCTGGATCATCTGCCAAGAACGGATATGAACAGGTCCCAGTCCGAGAAAAGGATCGAAGGATCCTGTTCATATGGACCTGTCGTCACACAGAACACTAAATAAATA